GGTAAAAGTTAAAGTCTCCTTTAGGAATATTACTTGAATAAAAGTCTCAAAGTATCTGATATTTTTGTACTTAAGTATTAAAAGTAAAAGTATTGATTCAAAATGAGTAGTTAGATTTTCCGTAATGACATTTATTAGGAGGTGACCTCCCCAAAAGAAATGCAGAAATTACTATATAATATAAATTACTATATTAAAAATAATGAATTGATGTTAAATTTATGATGCACTAGTCTAGCTGTTTAAGTTTATATACATATATCAAGGGAGCCCAAACCTTTTCTCCAAAATGAAAATCTATCTGTGAGCTGCAGCCAAATGCAATAATAAAATTCATGAAATACAAATACTTCTGAAATACAGTCCTATTATTTGAATGATTATGTCCTGCTGGAGAGTGACATGATTTGTTTGTGTACAAACTAATACTGTATCAGAACTTTTTGGAGGATGRCATTTTCAGCTTCTTACTGAAACTATTCCATCTTATCATGCCTCATGTAGACATTCTCTACAGCCAGCTCCAGAAGTGGACTATCGACTCTGTCTTTGTTCAGAGAATCATGCAGCAGTTCACAGACAACATACAAAAGTGTAGGTAAATTATTTTGTATATTGTGCTTTTTAATTTTACTATTGTACTTAACCACCTAATATTTCTTATTTTATCTGTTGACTAAAGATGAATTTTTCCCACTTGTTTTTGTTCAGAGATTTCATCCCTACTCTCTGTGAAGAACATGGTGTGTGTATGGTGTAGGCTTAAGGTGAATTAAGCCTTTCTACATATCTCTCATAAACAAGGTTATGAGGAAAGTTTTACCAAGGTGTTTTTTCATTACTTTAATATCTTGACTGCGCGAAGTGAAAAGTGACACAATAAGGGAACATTCAGACGAGTTCAAGTTGATTCATAAAGACTATGCAATCATTTATTCACACAAATTGAACAAATCATAAGTACACCTGATTGTGGTTATTCCTATAACAAGCTTCAAAGTTAAATGAGATAAAACTCGCGTCCGAATTTTAATTCACATTAAACTCAGATTACTTATACTGTATAGAGAACAGTAAAACGTCAGTTCTGATGTAACAGCCAAACAAATTTGCTGGCACTGTTTAGCTTAAGTTTTGGCAAACAAAGACAAGAAAAGGATGAAAATAAGGTTAGTGTTTTTACTACTCTTATTTTGTCAAGTGTGTGGTACAACCGGATCAGCACGTCCCTTCTGGGCTTCGAACTTCCACATGACACGTCACCCGGAACATGTCAGTTTTTACCTGGTGCTGGCTTCTTAACCAAACCCTGGGTAGTCACCGGTTCACCTCCGATCAGTCAGGGAACTTTTTAATCGGCCCGCTCACTGTTCCTCGGCGAAAAGGCAACTTTTCGTCTGTTTCGATCCTCAGCAGAAAGATTCAAGCTGATGCATCCGGTTCCTCCTTTCAAAATAAAATCTCCCCTCGGGAGTTGAAAAACACTTGGAGACTTACAGTCTCGGATGGGACAGTCGGCGGCGTGCCGCTGTCCCGGCCGTTAGATTCCCCTAATTGGCTTATGGGCAAGATCTAACGGGCCAAGCTGGCTTCTCCAGGGAGAAAGCTCAGTCTTCCTTCCCAGTTTGGCATCCAGGAAGAAGTATTCCGTCACTCAAAGGCATCCGTGTTAGTAATAGAAGCGGACGACTTTGGTTCCGCCCTCAGGCTTAAGATGTGTCAGAGGAAAAGAAGAAAGATAAGACTTGCCAGCCAAGGTTAAATTCTGTGGTTGTTCACAACAGAATATGATAACATTTCTTTAGCTTTTTCTTCTGATAGACTCTAAGAGAAATCACTGCAAAACATTTATGATGATTAATTAACATTTCTGTTTCTGTTAGTCCAGATAAATGAAAGATTTTCTCAAGAAAAATCCACAATTATATTACTGTGTTCACAGTAAAATAAAAACAGTGATTTATATAAAAACACAATGAAAAAGTGGTGATTTTCTCTGTGATTTTTTATATACCATTAATTAATCTTTTAGGCACGATAAAAGAGTAGAAGTGATTCCACTTTCTTTGTGACAGTCATTATATGATTTAACAAATGCACAAACATTCTTAGTTAAACAACAAATGAATCACGAACAGAAAAGATTGCTCACTGGGCCCAGGTGATCTTCACATCTCCTCTGACCACAGTTGAATCTGAAAGGAGCTTTTCAACACCAAAGACAATCCAGACTTTCCTCAGGTACACAACATCACACCTCACTGATCTGACCATGCTATATAGAGAAGAATCTTGTTAAAACATCCCCGACGTTTACCAGAGTCATGAAGAAATTTGCTTCTCAGTAACAGAAGAGCAAAAATTATGTAAAAAACATAAAACACTACATGACATTGTAATGCTGCTTTATTATTTTCATTTGTTTAATAAATACACTGGCGTGATACAACTTAATCCATGTTTGATTGCTTTTGGAGATGAGCCTATTTTGGATTTGTAGCCCCCCCTTGAGAAAAATCCACCAACTGCCAGTGGTTGGAAACCATCAAACCTGAATGAATTAGAGATGTTTTGTAAAGAAGAATGGTCTAAAATCCTTCAGCCACCAAACCAAATATGTTTCCTGTGTGTCACGTTAAACGCTGAGCAAAAGTGAGTCTGCTAACAGAGCTGCTCACCACAAAAACAGAAAAACAAGCAGCCAACTTACCGAGAGCTAAAAGCAGCACAGTGAGAGTCAATGAGGTCACAACAACAGGGTTTTTCAGTAGCTTTTCTGGGCCTTCAGTCGGACTAGAGGTAACTGTACTGCTGGGTGGAGTTACAGGAACATCTGAAAAAAGAAAACATATCAATCAAAAATACAAAAAGCAACTCTGAACAGATCCTGAGTTTTTTTTACACTTGATTAAACTCTGTGGTTTAAACATCAGTTACAAGCTGAGTTCAATTGTTTGTGTTGTAAAGTCTCATGATAGGGACTCATACAAAAAGGATTGCACAGCTTTCACACTAAAAGCTGACGTGCGGACAAATTTAGAAAAGTTGCGCCGCACCAAAAAATTCAGAAGTATAAATCTGTGCGCACCCAGGTTCCTGCGCAGCTTTCCTTTATACTAGAGGTGGGCGGATCGATACTAAATATCGATAATATCGATACCAGCGCTGGTATTGATATTGAACAATACTCGTGTAAAATATTGATACTCAAGCTTTGTTCTTTCCCGCACACACTGACTGCTGCACACGCGGAAGTCTACTCTCTGTCTGTAGTACTGCA